TTTAAACCACCTGCGCTCAGAAGGCTGGTGGGATTTGTCTTGTGTGTGGGAACACTAGACTATGGTGGTGGTGGTGGTGGTGGTGGTGTGGTGGACGATGATGCTGCTGATGCCGATGATGCTCATGGTGCTGATTATGCTGATGATGGCGACGGTGATGGTGATGAGGATGATAGCCATGACGATGATGCTGCTGCTGCTTTCGCTGATGATGGCATTGATGATGTTGGCGTTGCTTATGATGATGATGCTGATTTTGATGCGGCTGATGATGGTGATGCTACTCATGATCATGATGATGCTGCTTTTGCTGATGGCGAGGATGAGGATGAGGATGATGATGCGGATGCTTATGATGATGCTGCTGATGATGCTGATGATGATGATGATGATGCTGGCGATGATGCGGCTGCTGATGATGCTGCCGATGATAATGGTGGTGCTGATGCTGATGCTGATGATGATGGTGATGACATTGATGATGCTGTTGCTGGTGACGATGATGATGTCGATGACTGCGAGTATGCTGGTGGCGTTGATGTCCTTGATGTTGATGACCAGCATGATTATGCTGATCACGATGCTCTGATGATTATGCTGGATGGATGCTGCTGCTGATGCTGGTGATGATGGTGCCGGTGCTGATGCTGCTGATGACGACGGGTCTGCTGATGATGATGACGATGATCAGGCCGGTGATGATTACGACGATGATGTTGAGGATGATGGTGGATGCTGATGACGATGATGATGAGGATGCTGATGATGCTGATGCTGCTGATAAGGATGCGAAACATGATGGACCCACGAACCCGGAAAGGGATATAGACATGTGGAGCATGGACACGTTTTCACGATACCCAACTGGGCAACACCTCACGAAACATCCCACGAGACACTTCACGAAACATCCCACGAGACACCTCACGAAACATTCCACGAGACACCTCACGAAACATTCCACGAGACACCCCGCGAAACATTCCACGAGACACCCCACGAAACATTCCACGACGACAGGCAACCACTCAACCAAGGCGGTGTGGTCGTGCTGGGGAGTGGTCGTGCTGGGGTGTGGTCGTGCTGGGGGGTGGTCGTGCTGGGGGGTGGTCTGGGGGGGTGGTCGTGCTGGGGGGTGGTCGTGCTGGGGCGTGGTCGTGCTGGGGCGTGGTCGTGCTGGGGCGTGGTCGTGCTGGGGTGTGGTCGTGCTGTGGTGAGGTCGTGCTGGGGTGTGGTCGTGCTGGGGTGTGGTCTTGCTGGGGTCGTGCTGGGGTGGGGTCGTGCTGGGGTGTGGTCGTGCTGGGGTGTGGTCGTGCGTGCTGGGGTGGGGTCGTGCTGGGGTGTGGTCGTGCTGGGGTGTGGTCGTGCTGGGGTGTGGTCGTGCTGGGTGGGGTGTGCTGGGGTGGGGTCGTGCTGGGGTGTGGTCGTGCTGGGGTGTGGTCGTGCTGGGGTGTGGTCGTGCTGGGGCGTGGTCGTGCTGGGGTGGGGTCGTGCTGGGGTGGGGTCGTGCTGGGGTGTGGTCGTGCTGGGGTGGTCCGCACCCTGTGATTTATCGATCGGGTCGTGCTGGGGTGTGGTCGTGCTGGTGCTGGGGTGTGGTCGTGCTGGGGTGTGGTCGTGCTGGGGTGTGGTCGTGCTGGGGTGTGGTCGTGCTGGGGCTGTGGTCGTGCTGGGGCGTGGTCGTGCTGGGCGTGGTCGTGCTGGGGTGTGGTCATGCTGGGGGTGTGGTCATGCTGGGGGTGTGGTCGTGCTGAGGTGTCCCGCACCCTGTGATTTATCGATCGGGATTTCAAAAACAAGCGTTTCGCCTGAGACATCCTCAAATTTTAATTCGCCGGCCTCCTTCGACCTCGATATTTATCAGGGAATAATTTCGCCGGCCTCCTTCAAGTTGGGTACCGGGGACATGTTTACATAGAAAAAGAGAACCCTGGGCCCGCGCCCTTTCTGGGAAATATGGTGCTGCTCTTGTTGCTGATGGTGATGATGTTGCCAATGATGATGTTTATGTTGATGATGCTAATTATACCTATGAGGGTGATAACGAGATTGATGATGCTGATAATGCTGAGTATGATGCTGATTATGATGATGATGATGATGATGATGATGATGATGATGAGATGATGGTGATGATGATGAAGAGCATGCTGATGTTGATGATGGCGATGATGATGTTATTGTTTCTGGTGATGATGTTGATTCTGTCGATGATGATGCTGATGAGGATGCTTATGATGATGGTGATGCTGCTGATGATGATGCTGATGCTGATTATGATGATGCTGATGCAGATGCTGATGCTGGTGCTGATGCTGATGATGACGATGATGATGCTGATGATGCTGATGATGATGATGCTGATGCTGCTGCTGATGCTGATGCTGATGCTGATGATGATGATGATGCTGATGATGATGATGATGATGATGATGATGATGATGATGATGACGACGATGATGATGACGACGATGGTGATGATGCTGATGACTATACTGGCGATGCTGACCATGACGCTCAAATGGAGCTGATTCACACTATCATCGTAGCACCCCGCAGTTGCGGAGACGAGTAAGGGCAGGTGGGGTAGTCGGCAGCCTGCGAGGCTCTGAAGAAGCCCGCCGCAGGCGCCGAAATTTCAACACATTGCGCAACGGGCCCGCCACAGACGCCGACTTCTCTTCAAATCAGTGTGGGTGGGCCGTGGGTGGGTCGCGGGGTCTGTCGCGGACTGGACCGCGGGGTGGGTCGCGGGGTGGGTCGTGGGCGGGTCGCGGGCAAGGACGACAATATCAACGTAACAACGCAACACCAACAACAACGCAACACAAATATGCACCGCCGATCCCCACGTCAGCCGCGCGCCCAGGGATTCGACCCCCCGTATCAAGATGCTGCTGTTGATACCTTCACCGACGATATAGGTGACGATGACGATGGGGATCATGCTACTGCTACTGCTGCTGATGCTGCTGATGGTGCTTCTGTTGATGCTGATGTTGCGGCTGTTGATGCTGATGCTGATGCTGATGCTGATGCTGAGCGTATGCTGCTGCTGATGATGATGCTGATGATGATTAGGCTGATGATGCTGCTGCTGATGCTGCTGATGCTGCTGATGATGACGATGTTGTTGATGATGCTGAGGATGATGATGCTGAGGTCGATCTGGACGGTGGTGATGATGCTGGTGATGATTTTGCTGATGATGATGATCGGTGGCGATTGTCCTTTGTCGTGATCGCACGTCAGCTTGTACCAGCGCTGCACTGCTACGAAGAGGAGGAGGAGGGTGGGAGGAGCACGAAGAGGACGAGTAGAGGAGCAGGAGGAGGAGGAGGAGGAGGATGAGGAGGAGGAAGAAGACGAGGAGGAGAAGGAGGAGGACGTACAGTGGGGGCGCGCATCAAGAAACCATCTGTTGTTCGTCAGGGTATCCTGGGTTTCTTTGCTCCGCGCGCTGCGCTGTGACTTCCCGCAGCCGTTGAAGGAGCTGCTGCGTTCAGTCAGGGTGCTCCGGGTTTCCTCTCGGGTACACTTCGCGCGCGGGTTTTCAGGGCTGCGTTTCTTGCGAGGGTTTCTTGCGGCCACGCCCGCATTGTAGGAGTACTCGGGAGTAGAGACAGAAGGAGGGGCAGTCTCCTCCTCGACCCTCGAGGTCCGAGGATGGAGTCTCTTGTTGTCTTGCTGTCCGTGGAGGGCGAGGAGGGTGCCCGCGCATCTCAGGGTCGCCGAGAAGGTGCGCGCGAAGCTCAAGAGGGCGGTGGACAGCTCGCGCGGATCATTGGGAATCGACGAATTCTTCGGCCAGGTGGACAAGGACGCTCGCGGGGCGGAGGGAGTTTGGTGGGGAAGGATCAGAAGAAACTGGATGTGAGCCAGAATGAAGATGGGGCTACGGCGCAAGAATAGGAGTAGGAGTAGGAGCGGGAGGAGGAGGAGGAGGAGGAGAAGGAGGAGGAGGAGAATCGATGATCAAGGATCGAATCTAGTTGCCACGTCTTTCGTTTTTTTGAAGGGGCCTCTGGGTGGCGATGATGATGGGGATGAGATAGGTCGGGGGGCGCCCCTGGAGAGACGCATGGGCTGCCGCTTGCAGAACGAGCAAGGGCACGTTTGTTCTCGCTTGCCGGAAGCCGCCATGTGACGAAGGCGTGGACTCGTCGCATTCCGGGGATTGGATGTTGTGGTGACGGACGAGGAGGAGGAGGAGGAGGAGGATTGAAAGAGGGAGGATGATGAGGTCCCCAGAGATCTCTGGAGGCTCCAGGGTTTCTCCATCCTCATCCTTCTACCCCTTCCACTCCTTCCCTCGTCCATCCTCCTCCGCCTCCCCCCAAGCACTGATCTTACGATTGGCAGTGCATTGACAATTCGCTTCCCGATATTGCCATGCCATGTTTTGTCACCACTGTGAAAGGTTGCATGCAGCGTTTCATTCCTGGGTCTCTTGCCGAGCATCAGGTCGCCCATCCTTAGTCCCTAGGTAGACACCGATTCCTTGGAGAATGTGTTACGCAAGCTTGCCCTCTCCCCCTGCCCCTCGTCCCTCCTCCTCCTCCTCCTCCTCCTCGGTCTGCAGGGCCAGAGCAATTCGTGAGCCTCTCGAGTCGTGCCGCCGTCCTTCTTTCTGAGCGTTTGCCCCAGCGCCTTTGGGCGGTCTGGAGCCTGAGGAGGTGGTGGGAGGAGGAGGAGGAGGAGGAAGAGGAGGAGGCGGAGGAGGAGGAGGAGGAGGAGGAGGAGGAGGAGGAGGAGGAGGAGGAGGAGGAGGAGGAGGAGGAGGAGGAGGATGAGGGGGAGGAGAGGAGGAGGAGGAGGAGGAGGAGGAGGAGGAGGAGGAGGAGGAGGAGGAGGAGGAGGAGGAGCAGGAGCAGGAGGTGAAGGAGGAGGAGGAGGAGGAGGTTGATGGGGAGTTGGAGGAGGAGGAGGAGGAGGAGGAGGAGGAGGAGGAGGAGGAGGAGGAGCAGGAGGAGGAGGAGGAGGAGGAGGAGGAGGATGTGGAGGAGGGGGAGAGGGAGGAGGAGGAGGAGAAGGAGGAGGAGGTTTTCAAATGTGGCTCTCGTCTTAACGCCGCGCGCATTCGTTGTCAACATTTGCAAGATTTCCACAGATAGAGGGCGGGCCGTTTTCAAAATGTTGTTCTCGCCTTAGTGCCGAGCACATTTGTTTAAAACAATTGCAAAAGTTTCACGGATTGAGGGCGGTTCTTTTTCAACATGTGGCGCTCGCTTCAGCGCCGCGCACATTCATTTAAAACATTTGCAAGAGTTTCACGGGTTTCCATGATCGACGTACCAGAGACTGTGTTTTGGAAGGATACAGGAATATGGGGGGCCAACAGTTATGTTGATTCGCGGTGTTGAAGTCCCAAACATGGCGTTCTGGCACGATACCAGATCGTCAGGACGCAGCGGCCAGGTTGATCCGTGGCGTGGAGATCCCGAAAACAATGTTTGGGCATGCTTCAAGGTCTGCAACCGGTTGTCTTCCAATGAGGCAGTTCCTTCAATGGAAATGAACCGTTGTAGGGGCCTATGAAGAGAGAGCTTGGAGGGAGGGTTCATTCCAACATCGTTGATGACTCTTGGGTTTACACTGGTCCTCCTCCTCCTCCTCCACCTCCTCCTTTCCCGTGTCCTGCCCTTCGCTGTGGCCAGGACGGCTCTGGGCTTCTCGACGTGCTGGAGCTCCACCGCGTCCTGCGGGAATTGCTGCGGATCCCGGAGTGCCCGCCGTGCCGGGGAGGCCGGGAGAGGGGGAGGCTGAGGGAAGGCGTCAGATTCGGACGAATTGGTTCTGCAATAGTTCGTGCAATAGTTCGTGCTATCGTTCGTGCAATCGTTCGTGCTGGATTGTGCTAGATGCAGGCAGAGAGCGTTGCATGTGGCCTCGTTGGTCTGTGAGAGAGGCCACGCGCCATGAGCCACCGGATGAGCTATTGTTTTTTTTTGGGGCGTTCCCATCTGGGGGGCGAGGGTGAGTCGACTACACGTAAGAGTGACCTTTCGCCAGGGTGACTTTTGGTGCGGGCCCGCTGCAGCTCCCCGATCTCTGAATGTGATGCGACAGCAGCGGCTTGCGCGCCTGGTGGTGTTCCCATAGGGCCCACCCATGGCCGCGCGCGAAAGGTCACTCTTGTCTAGGGTCACTCTTGCGTGTAGCCGAACGAGGCGTTGGCGGGAGGGGGGCGGCCTTCTGAGAAGGCGGGAGGCTTAGGCTTCCCGGCAGCCCTCCCAGCTTCTGTGAGGCCTCCTCAGAGAAGCCCCCGGGCCAGTCCAAGGAGGCCCCAAGCGCCCCCCCCGTTTTTCTGGAGGGGCGCCCCCTCTTGCGCCACTCCTCGTGCGCGCCGTCTGGCGACCAAATCTCGAAGACCAGAAAAACGATGCAAGCACAAGCTCTCAGAGGTCCGCCAGGCTTTCCTGGGCCGTCCCTGGACACCCATCCTCACCGCAGGCCCAGCGTCGCCTCCGGCGCGCCGCTCCGCCGCCCAAAGAACTCCGCGCGTCTCTCATGAGCGTTTACTCCTGTGTAGAGCATTGCCTCCTGGAATCATCGGGCGTTGCTAGAAGTGCCTCTGGCCCAAGGTGCCCCCAGGATTTCCAAAGATGCCCCCACGGCCTCCAGAGCACTCCTCACGAGGCCCAGGGGGCCCCAGGGGCTCCAAAATGGAGCGAAAAGCTGCAGGCACCTTGGGCCAGGGGCACCCTGGGATCAAGGGCAACGATAGGGGGGGATAGGCATAGGGGGGATGCATTGACCCCCAATCGCCCAGTGATCGCCGATATCGGGTCCGATAGCCTCAACCTGCCAAGGAGCGTGCGGATTCACGATCGGGGGCCTATCGCCGATCTATTGGTGACGTATCGCCGACTCCAGATCGATGTGTTCCCGTGTTCCCCGCTAAGCCAGTCCCCCATTATCGTTGCCCCTCGATTGCCTTCTGACCGCTGGGGATCCCTACGACGACGGGTCCAGACGACGTTGGAGTAGCGGACCCCCCCGCTGGGGTTCATTTGGCAGCTAACATCTTTCGGATCTTGGACCTGGCGCCCTGCATTTCCCAGAAATCTGATTCGATTCGCAGGGGTAGGGCTCCCATTTGGAAGCAATTGGCTGCCCAATTGGGTTCCGCCGCCAACGCGGCTGGGACCAGGAACACGACCGCGACTACCACTACGACGACGACCACGACGACGATGACGATGACGACCACCACTACCACCACCACCGCGGCCACGAGTGCCGAGTGCGACCACGTCGACGAGACGGCGACGTCCGCCGCGTGCGACACTCGGGGCGGCGGAGGCAGGGTGGAGCACCGAGGCCGCAGTCTCGGGCGAGCGGGGGCGGCGCTCTCCTGTCGCGGGCGCGCGCGGGCCTGATGACCGGAGGCCGTGGGCGAGAAACGTATCCGCATCCGCGGCCTCGCGGACTGGGCACCATGGGTCGCGACCCCGCGGGCACGGGGCGTTTTTTCGCGCATGCCCCGCGTGGGGCGCATCCGTGCGAGGGCGTGTCCGCGGGACCGCGCCCCAGAAGTCCAGACCGCGAGGGCGCGGAGATGGATGTGTTTACCGCTCGTCAGGAGGGGGGTCGATATCATGGCCAGGGCCGCGAGGTCTCCCCAGATTTCCCGACCCCCTCTTCTTCTTCCAAGGCGTCCCCTGCCTCCGGAAGTGATCTAGCAGCCCCCCTCTTGGACGCCCCCACTTGGACGCCCCCGATGTTGCTCGGCGAGGCCGCCTCGGCGCTGAGCCTGGCGCAGGGCCTCGTCTACGGGGGCCTCAAGAAGAGTACCGGCCCTCGTGTGCGCCTGGCCCCGCCAGGGGCGCGACGACGACGGCCGCCTTCCCAATGCGCGGCCTTGGGCCTGCGCTGGTGCACTCGCCGCGGCGCGGGAGGCGTGCCGTGCAGCGAGCGGTTGGGTTCGGTCGGTTGTGGCGTCGGTGCCGCGCCGCCGCGCCCTTCGGTCGCTCGCGCCCTCCGCCTCCGCCTCCTCCTCCTCCGCCTCCTCCTCCTCCTCTTCCTCCTCCTCCTCCTCTCCCTCCTCCTCTCCCTCCTCCTCCTCCCCCGCCTCCTCCTCCTCCTCCTCCTCCTCCCCCTCCTCCTCCTCCTCCTCCTCCTCCTCCGCCTCCTCCTCCTCCTCCTCCTCCTCCTCCTTTCTCCTCCTCCTTTCTCCTTCCTCCTCCTGGGTCCAGGAGGGGCTCCGCTCTCGTGCTGTCGCCGCGGACGGCCTCGGCTCGCCGTGGAGGGCGCCCTCGCTGGGCGCTGCGGCTTGCAGCGGGCAGGCTGCCGTTCTTGCCCGGCGCCCCCCTGACCGAGGTACGCGGGAGCCTCGAGACGGGGGTCAATGCAAACGGAGGTCAGCCAGGGCGCCAGATCGTGCAGGATCCTGCGAAGACCCCCTCTGGCTGACCCGGGTTTGGGAGCCGCTCGTGGCCGCGAGGCGGCCGCACATATTGGCTGACCCAGGTTTGCGAAGACCTGCGTTGCAGTTTTTTTTTTTTTTCCTGCATTGCAGTTTTTGGTTTCCTGCTGACCCGGGTCTGGATTGACCCGGGTCAGAAGATCCCCGAGGTACGCGGTGTCGGACAGCGAGGTGTCCTCGCTCTTCGTCACGCTGGACGCAGACAAGTCTGGGTCCATTGACATCAGGAGCGCGCCGCTCCCCGACCTCCTGGCGGTTCCGGGGGGGACTCCTGGCGCCTCTGGCTCTCGTCGCCGCACTCCGGACGTGCCTCGCGCAGGGCGGGCAGGGATGGACGGACCCCGGGCCCCAGGAACCGTTTTCGGCCCACGGGGACTCAGTCCTTCGTCCTTCGTGCCTGGGAACGGCCCTCTCGCGGCCGAGGCTCACGGTGGACGAACCCTCGGGGGGTGTTCAGGGGCTGGCCTTGCTGCGGTGTCATGGGAGCCTTGCATAACCTCGCGATTACGTCCTTAGAGCACACTCGCATGGATTAGGGTCTGGTGATCGATGGGGTGGCGCCGATTTAGCGTCGATTATCGTCGACCAGCGTCTACCAGCGTCGATTCGCAAGAGCCAGCAAGATGGTATGGGAGGCTCCCATGTCTTGCCGCAGAGTCTTAAGCGGATCCTGCTCATGCCTCCTGGCGACTCGGCAAAACCACGCCGGACCCCTTCCCGCCCCGCGCCTCCATCTTAGGCCTCCAGTGGGGCCGTCAAGAGCCGCCCGTGAGGGAGGAGTGGTTCCGGAGATCGAGTGGCAGATCGACTACAACATTGATTTACCCCAAATTACCCCAGTGCGACCCTACCTAGAAGTTGGAGCCCCTATGAAAGCAGCATTAGATGCTATGCTATGCTATGCTATGCTATGCTGCGCTATGCTATGCTATGCTATGCTAAGCTAAGCTATGCTATGCCATGCTGCGATATGCTATGCTAAGCTATACTATGCTATGCTGCCATGCTATGCTATGCTAAACTGCGCTATGCTATGATGCTATTATATGCTATGCCATGCCATGCTATGTCATGCCATGCTATTCTATGCTGCACTATGCTAAGCTATGCTATGCTTGGCAATGTTATGCTATGCTATGCTAATGCAGCGTAGTAGCAGTAGTAGTAGTAGTAGTAGTAGTCGTAGTAGTAGTAGTAGTAGTAGTAGTAGTAGTAGTAGTAGTAGTAGTAGTAATAGTACAATTAATACTTATAGAAGTGATCTCCGTAGTAGTAGTAGTAGTAGTAGTAGTAGTAGTCGTCGTATTAGTATTATCATTATTCGTAGTAATAACCGTAGTAGTAGTAGAAGAAGAAGAAGTGGTAGTAGTAGTAGTAGTAGTAGTAGTAGTAGTAGTCGTAGTCGTCGTAGTAGTCGTTGTAGTAGTAGTCGTAGTAGTAGTAGTAGTAGTAGTAGTAGTAGTAGTAGTAGTAGTAGGGGTGACCGGCTCCTGGGTGCGAGCCGCTCCCCCGGCCCCTCCCTACAGCACTCCGTTGGGTTTCCGCACCGTCAGTGTGTTTGTGCGTGTGCGGTGTGCGGTGTGCGGTGTGTTTCGTATGCGTTTCCTATACGTGTTGTATACGTTTCCTATACGGTTTGTATGCGTTTCGTATATGTTTTCTATAGGTTTTGTATACGCTTCCTATATGTTTCCTATACGTTTTGTATACGTTTCCCATGTGTATCCTACACGTTTTGTTTACGTTTCCTATACGTTTCGTATACGTTTCCTATGTGTGTCCTAGGTTTTTGTATACGTTTCCTATATGTTCCCTATATGTTTTGTACACGTGTCCTTCATGTTTCCTATACGTTCCCTGTACGTTTTCTGCATGTTTCCTATTTGTTTCCTATACGTTTCCTAAATGTTCCTTATATGTTTCCTATATGTTTCCCAGATGTTCCCTATATGTTTCCTATTTGGTTCCTATATGTTTCCTATGTGTTTCCTTTATGCTTCCTACACGTTTCCTATATGTTTCCTTCATGTTTCCGATGCGTTTCCTATATGTTTCCTATATATGTTTCCTTTATGTGTCCTTCATGGTTCCGATGTGTTTTCTATATGTGTCCTGAATGTTTCCTAAATATTTCCTATATATTTCCTATATGTTTCCGAGGTGTTTCCAATATTTTGCTCATGTGATTCCTATACGTTTCTTCTATGTGTCCTATACGTTTCTTGTATGGTTCCTATATGTTTCTTATATGTTTCTTGTATGTTTCTTATCTGTTTCTTGTATGTTTCCTTTCACGTTTCTTATGCGTTTCAAATATGTTTCCTATATGGGTCCTATATGTCCCCTATGTGTTTCCTAAATGCTCCTATATGTTTCCTATATGATTCCTATGCGTTTCCTATATGTTTCCTATCTGTTTCCTATATGTGTCCTGTACGTTTCCGATATGTTTCTCATATGTTTCTTATATGTGTCCTATATGTTTCCGGTACGTTTCTTATGTGTTTCTCATACGTTCCCTATATGTTTCCGGTATGTATCCTATATGTTTCCTATATGTTTCCTATATGCTTTCCTATACGTTTCTTATATGCTTCCTATACGTTTCATCTATGTTTCTTATCTGTTTCTTATATGTTTCCTATACGTGTTTTATATGTTTCCCATACGTTTCCGATGCGTTTCCTATATGTTTCTTGTACGTTTCTTATACGTTTCATAGATGTTTCTTCTGTGTTTCCTATACGTTTTTTCCACCCCCCTCTCTCTATCTCTCTCTTCTTATATCTCTCTATATATATATGTTTATATGTATGTCTGTATGTATGTATGTGTTTTGTATACGTTTCCTGTATGTTTCCCATTCGTTTCCTATACGTTGTGTATACGTTTCCTATATGTGATTTTATGCGTTGCCTACATGGTTTATATACGTTTCCTATATGTTTTGTATACGTTTCCTATATGCTTCCTGTACGTTGTGTATACGCTTCCTTAAAGTTTCCTATACGCTTCCGATATGTTTCCTTTACGTTTTGTATACGTTCTTAATTCGTTTCCTATCTGTTTCCGATGTGTTTCTTATATGTTTCCTATACGTTTTGTATACGTTTCCTATACGTTTCTTATATGTTCCTATAAGTATCTTATGTGTGTTCTCATACGTTGCTTATGTGTTTCCTATACGTTTCTTACATGACAACCCCGCATCATCCTTCCCCTTCGCCCTCCTCGCCCAGGCGGTGTTTGTCGGCCCCGAAACGGCCCAAAAGGCTTCCAAGAAGCCCCCAGGAGCGCCCCGAAACGGCCCAAGGGGCTTCCAAGAGGGCCCCAAGACGGCCCAAGAGAGTCCCAAGACGACCCAAGAGGCGCCCAAGACGACCCACGAGAGCCCCAAGACGACCCAAGAGGCGCCCAAGACGCCCCAAGAGAGCCCCAGGAGGCCCCGAGAGGCCCCAAGCAGGCCCCAACAGGCCCCAGGAAGCCACCAGCAGGCCCCAAGAGGCCCCCAAGAAGCCGACTGATGCCCCCAGCCGCCGCCGTCGCCGCGACCGCGGCGGCGGCCGCGGCGGCGGCTCGCACCCAGGGCCCGGTCTGCACTAGTAGTAGTAGTAGTAGTAGTAGTCGTCGTCGTCGTCGTCGTCGTCGTCGTCGTCGTCGTCGTCGTCGTCGTCGTCGTCGTAGTAGTAGTAGTAGTAGTAGTAGTAGTAGTGGTAGTAGTAATCGGAAATGTAGTCGTAGTAGTAACAGTCGTAGTGGTAGTCGTAGTCGTGGTAGTAGTTGTAGTAGTAGTAGTAGTAGTAGTAGTAGTAGTAGTAGTAGTAGTGGTAGTAGTAGTAGTAGTAGTAGTAGTAGTAGTAGTCGTCGTCGTAGTAGTCGTAGTGGTAGTAGTTAATAGCAGTTGTAGTAGTAGTAGTAGTAGTAGTAGTAGCAGCAGCAGTAGTAGTAGTAGTAGCAGTCGTAGTCGTAGTAGTAGTAGTAGTAGTAGTAGTAGTAGTAGTAGTAGTAGTAGTAGTAGTAGTAGTAGTAGTAGTAGTAGTAGTAGTAGTAGTAGTAGTAGTAGTAGTAGTAGTAGTAGTAGTAGTAGTAGTAGTAGTAGGTAGTAGTAGGTAGTAGTAGGTAGTAGTAGGTAGTAGTAGGTAGTAGTAGTAGTAGTAGTAGTAGTAGTAGTAGTAGTAGTAGTAGTAGTAGTAGTAGTAGTAGTAGTAGTCGTAGCCGTTGTCGTACTTGTGGTCGCGAAGGATCGGCGCCAAGTGGAGGTCTTGAAGGAGACAGGGATGAGCAGGAGAAGAAGCCAGACCGCCAAGATAACAAGCCTTACTGCACAGTGAAAGACCGGGTAATAGCATACCTCATGTTCAATAGAATTTGGCTGATTGTGGAGCGGCTTCGCATCTCAATCCATTTGCATATGTCGCTCTTTAATTCCAGAGGGTGTTCATTTGAATTGAAAAATGGACCAACGTATTTCCCAACAGGGTTGGAACAGGTCCAGACATCAGTGTGTTCTAATAGGAGTAGAATACGCATCTGCAGGACATTGAATAAGCATGGCCCCAGGCGCAAAGGTATCCCATAATATTTGAAGGAATACATTCAATCGGAATGGAACATGCCCCCTGGCTCAGAGGATTTGAATGGAGTCCGAATGGAGCACCAATCGGAACTCAGGTATACTTGAACCAGACTCAGTCTGAGAAAACTTCAGTTCGAGTTGAAATTTGACCCACTATGAGTTCGATAGTGATGAAACGTATCCCACGTTCAGAATTTTCCCTTCGGATTTGAACAGGAAGCCGATACGAACGCAATCGGAACTCAGGCCGCTGATTCAGATCAAGTGTGTTTGATTTACATGGGAACTTGTAGAAATTCAACACGTTTGGAAAATGCCCCACGTTCATCGGGCTTCGATCAAATTTGAATTGGGAATTCGTTGAGTTGTCAGTGGGGACACTTGAAATATTAGGCGGCAAGACAGCCTCTCAAAGAGGAGTTTGTATCACTGCAAGAACGCATACGGTTAAATAGAAGCATACCTCCCCTCCACGGGGGAGTCCGGGAGGGGTGGGGCGACCGCCCGTAACAATCGTTGCGGGCTGACCGATTAACAAATCTCAAGGGCCCCTTGGTTCGGGCGTGTCGTGATGAGGGGCCGATGCGTTAGTTTTCGGATCCGGGCTGTGCACAAGAATCGCGGTGCCCGTTTCTTCGTCGGTCTTTGCCTCCGGAGGCCGCTTCCTGATCCCAGGGCCTTTCACAAGCCGACTCAGAGTGAACGTCGGCCCTGGGGAAACGGTCGAGACCCCTGGGGGCCAGGGCCACGAAATTCTTTACGCTTCGCGTATCCCCACCAGCCCATCTCTCAACAGCAACTCTTGCGAAGCATGCCGACAGTCGTGTTTTTCAGGCGTGTTTCCGCCTGCCCCCGCATATCTCCCCTGTTACTCCTTCCCCCCGCCTCCTTGTACATCCTCCTTGTGGGGGGAGCGGGAGAAGGACGAGGCGGAGGAGGAGGGAGAGAAAGCGCGCCTCGTGGTTTGAGTCGTTTGGGGTTTCTCGTCCTGGTGTGAGTCGTTCGGGCCCTTCTTCCTGGTGTGAGTCGTTCGGGCTCTTCGTGGTGTGAGTCGTTCGGGCTCTTCGTCCTGGTGTGAGTCGTTCGGGCTTCTCGTGGTGTGAGTTGTTCGGGCCCCTCGGTGTGAGTCGTTCGGGCCCCTCCTCCTGGTGTGAGTGGTGTGAGTCGTTCGGGCCCTCCGGGCTCCTCGGTGTGAGTCGTTCGGGCTCCTCGTGGTGTGAGTCGTTCGCGATCGTGAGTCGTTCGGGCGAGTCGTGCGAACGCTGCCCCTCCTCCTGGTGTGACTCGTTCGGGCTCCTCGTGGTGTGAGTCGTTCGAGGCCCGCGTCGTGGTGTGAGTCGTTCGGGCTCCTCGTGGTGTGAGTCGTTCGGGCGCCTCGTCCTGGTGTAAGTCGTGTGGGAACCTCCTTGTGGTGTGAGTCGTTCGGGCTCTTCGTGGTGTGAGTCGTTCGGGCCCCTCGCCCTGGTGTGAGTCGTTCGGGCTCCTCGTGGGGCCTCTTGGGGGCCTCTTGGAGCCTTTTAGGGCCTCTTGGGGGCCTCTTGGGGGCCTCTTGGGGGCCTCTTGGGGCCTCTTGGGGGCCTCTTGGGGGCCTCCTGGGGGCCTCTTGGGGCCTCTTGGGGGCCTCTGGGGGGCCTCTTGGAGGCCTCTTGGGAGCCTCCTGGGGGCCTCTTGGGGCTATCTTGGGGCCTCTTGCGACCTCCTTTGAAGCGCAAATGCGAGCTGCCCCCTGAGAAGGACAAAATGAGCCCAAAACCTTCGTAAAATCAATGATTTTGCTATAACGGACGATGAGCGCTGCCCCCTCAGAAGGCCAAAATGGGGCCGAAACCGTAGTAAGATCAATGTTTTCGGCTTCAAAGACGAGTTGATGCGCCAAACGGTCCCCCCCTTCGGGACCAGAATCCTCGTGAGGGTCGTCGTTTTTTGGCCCTCCCAGGAGTCGAAAAAGACCCCCTTGACACCACTCCGCCCGCCCTCTCCAGGTCCAGGGGAGGGG